GGGGGGGGGGGGGGGGGGGGGAGGACGGACACAACTAAATTCCACATCACCAGAGTGATGATGAGCAGTCATACTTAAGGCTCAGGAAGACCAGGCACAATTGAGATAACCCATGTCTTGAGGAAAGTTTTGCTTTTATCTCTATTCATTTTCCCGCTTGTTACTGAAAATTCCCTTAGACTGGAACAGCAGAACAGATGAGGCCAAACCCAGAGAGCTCCTACGTGCCCACAACTCCCAACAACAGTAAATAAAAGTTGCAGGTACTCAACAGCTCACCCAATTTGATCCTCTGTGCAATTCCTAGAACTAACTGTACCCTACTGTTAACTGGTATGACCACTATTCTCCATTTGGTATACTGTACTCAGCAACTTCGCTAACAGCCCTAGTTTAGGAACTTAATCTTGCTGCCAAACACATTTACCATGTTGTTAGAAAGCCAAGAAGCATGCTATAGAATGATGGCCTCTTGCACAAAGCTAGAATACAAGTTAGAATACCACATTGTTCTGATTATATTATAAGCCATAATGTACAAATTAAGTAACTACTAACCACTTAATCTTAGCTCTCTATACACTGTTCCTATTTCATCACTATTAAGACTCCACCTTATCAAATGATGCCCCGAACAAATCGTATTATGTTTAAATTTATCTAAACCCTTGATGCTCACCATAGCATTTGGGAAAAAGTATTAGGTACTAAGAATACATTATAATCCTTAGAGAATACCCAAAGAATTTCTAGCTAAAATGCTGGTATAGGCTATGTATTCGGAAGTCTAGTCAAATGCAAAATTCTTAACGCCAGCATCCATCTGGACTACAAATGCTCAAACACATTTGTGTTCTCCTCACAGGTTAAACTTAGGGTGATGTGGCATGTTCTCTACAACAGCTGCGAATCACTGGAATGTCGTAAGTCTAAAAAGGAACAAATCTACAGTTTCATGAGGGTATTTAACATGGTAAGCTGCTTGAATTGCCTCCTACTGTTTTCACAGCACTTACTCCGTGTTACATTGAACGTGTGGCACCACCCTGGAATGATGCACTACCAGCATAAACTAATCCAGAATTTAGATCCCTGCTCTCTCCACCCTTCAAAAGGAGTATCAATACTTGCACGCACCCTCCCACTGGCTGTCTTTGACATCTGCAGAGGCCAAAAAAGAAACCTGTATCCTACCAACAGCCAGCGAGGAGATGGGATGGCTAAGGGAGGGAAACAAAATGGATTTCAAAGTGAAACTCACCCAGTGACGGCAGAGGTCAAGCCACTAACACATTCTGAAAGAGGTCCGGAGAGGACAGTCACCTTCTCTGCTAAGAGCACTCCGCCCCCCCCCCCAGTCCTCACAATGTGTCAACAAAATTAACCCTTCCCACTTCATAAATTTACCTGTCAGAGAGGTTTCTGTACCAGAGAGAGCCATCACTAATGAAACTCTATTGAAATTGTATTGACAGAAGTTATGTAGTTCAGAATAACCAAAGCCAACCAGGTGAAGATCTTGCTGTCATTTTTCTAGCTCAGAATAGGTTGCTGCATTAGGTCAATTGAGTTAATCGGGTTTGTTTTTAACAGGAGTGCTACAACAGTATAAAATAATGACTAGCCAAAAGATGATAAATTCACTCAGACTGGAGATGCATTGCCTAAGTTGATAATAACATAGGGAATGGGGTAGAATATGGTATAGGAAACTCCATATTCTTTCCTGTTTGCCAATCCCAACTTCATTTTATAATATTGCACGACTAAACTCAACTGAACTAAACAAAGACAACCTATCACTTCACATAGGTTACTTGTACAGTCTCAGCAAAAAAGCTACCCTTTAGACAGATTCCATTAGAGGCCAGATCAAAGACCCTGGAACGGTTGCACTAGTGCATAAAAGTTACATTTGGGTTGATTTGTGCAACACAAGCCAGATGCTTTTGGCTGGACTGGACTCATGGTTACTATTTATCTTAAGTGTTCACTACCAGTGGAAGACTTCTCTTAAATCTCACCTGCCACCTTACCAAATAGAATTCCAAAACCCTGCAATATCACCATTTAAAAACAGATTCCTCCCCCACCTGCCCCATGTGATCTAGATATATCAGTTCATTCTGCTTCATATCAAAAGACAGCTGAAGAAAACTGATGCTTTGGGAAATGTCCGTATTCACAAGATTGCCTTCCATTATTAGCCAAATATCAGCAGTCATATGTGACAATCTATGCAGACCCCACAAATATTTTAAAAAAATGCAAGTATAACGGAATTTGGTACCATAAATTCTACCTTCATATATCTGAAACCAAGACTAACCTAGGCAAAAGCAGAATTTAATTAAAAACTCCTATTTAAATTTAATGCCAAACAATCACGTGATTTGGAAGAATTTATAGCTGTTTATGGATAGTACATGCACCAACCTCGCAGTGATATTCAAATATTGCACTTTCAGTAGTATTTGCTGATGCTTCTGTTTCAGCGCACGTTTCAAAGGATGAAGATTGTTACGATTTAAGAAAAAAAAAAACAAACAAACTAGCGAGAGAAAGTGATCTATCAAGCTAATAAAGAATATAACGGCTGCTGTACTGGGCAGTTTCAGCACAGCACTGGAGAAAACAAGGACTATTAGCAGCGTTGGGACGTGCTTTTTTTGAAGCTGTTGAGTAGGCACAAACTTCTTGTTTCAGATCAAGTGTTGTGTCTTCAGTGTAAGTTTACTCTTCTTTGGTCTTATTTTGTTGTTACGATGTAGGTTCCTTTCCTGATCTGAACTTGAAGCAGCAGTTTCAGGTGGTAAATTCTGTTCTGTTACACTTCATACTGGAGAAGAAAAAGAAACACATTTTAAGCACAACTTTGAAAGAAGACATATCACAGATTGTCCCAAAGAGTTCCTACAACCAGATACTTTGCCACTACCTTAATGCTGCAGGTTTGTTCCATGCCGGGAAAGATAATTTACTTTTACAGAAGTACTCTAGCATTCCTGGTTTTGGTCTTGGATTCCCCAGAGGGTCCACCTCCAACCAAAGTGGAAAAGAAATGTTTCCAACACATGACGGTCTCTTCAGATCCAGTAAGGCTTTTCCAGAAAGCTCCCAGTTTTTATTTATACATAACAACAAAACAGCAACCTTGCTTTGATCAGCATCAGGTGAATGAAGGGCATAATTTAATACAAATCTAAATCTCTTACTTCGATTTATGATGCTCATTTGACAGCATTTTAGGTGTATTCATTATCAGTTAAATCAACAAGCCTCCATGCAAGTAGCAAACCGTTTTCTACACAGCAGCACGGAGAGAACAAAACTGTGAACTAGAGCATCACTGTAGACAGACCAGTCAGGTACAGGGTGGTACCAAAAATTCCTTTTTCTAATGATGCTGTATATATTTCTGGTTCCTAGTACAGGTCTGCATTTCCCAGAAGACAAACAGAAATCAACAGCCAATACATTAGATTATGTGAAAGTCTGAAGAAACAGTAGAAAGAGCTTTTCTTCAAGTAAAATTTGGGCATTTCTCTAAGCTACTTAAAACAGGAGTATATCCTGTTCACCTATTCTCAGTTCACCAGCAGGAAAAAAAAACAAACAGTGAATTCCCATAATCCCCTGACAGTTGGCTGGCAAAGGAGACTCACTCAGCATGTGCTAGGAGTAATTTCTGCAGCATCACCCTCCATTTCTCTGAAAGGCTTGAAATGGACAGCTAACACCAGAGAAATTAGTACCCTGTCTTCTCACCTGGGAGAGTTCCCTGTGTAATACTGACTCGTTTATTGATGTGAACTCATCTCTATGAAGGGAAAGGCTCTGCTCGCCTGAACCCATAGCTCTATCACAGCTGTGTTGCCAAGGAGACAGGAGACGGCTAGCAAATGATGCAGCAGCAGAGCACCTCTGTGCAGGTCAGACCTCCACTGGACCCCCAACCTAATGACATAATCAGCAGGGAGAGAGGCAAAGCCATCTTTTGTACTGTCATGACAGCTCCAAATGCAGACTGAGTCCAGGCCCCCATGACAGGGAGAATCTAGGCAGCAATCAAAGCCCAGGATCCCTCTTTATATTTTTTGGATAAAGTGAGTGAAAATTTAAAGTGAAAAGGGGGGGGAGAGGGGTATGTTATTTTTTCCCAAGCAATCTTTAGTAGTAGTCAGCACACTCAATTCAGGAAGAAAACATGGGTGCATGTGGTACCTTCCACCCCCTTAACCCTGAGCACCAAAAACAGCTCCATAGTGCTGAATGACTCACTGTTTTGAGCCTTTCTAGCTCTAAATAAAGCCTTCCAAATATAAAAAAAAAATTCCCCCCCATATTTTGTGCCATTAAAACAGACGAGCAAAATAATTCTCCCTTTCTGTGCGTGACTGCGCCAGAAAACAAGGCAGGTTTTTTTTCCCCTTTTTTAAGAAAACATTTTTTTAACATTTGTTTTATTATAGGTAAGATCTCGTGTTAATACTCGATCAGGAACAGGTTACTTCTGTCCACATTTCATATATGCACACGCGTGTGTCTCAGCTCTGCACTTCATCCAATTTGTTGCAACAGCTTACCAAAACACCAGCCAAATTATGCAGGCATTTAGGAAGTGCTTCTGGGAAATGCAGTCTAAGCATGATTTTAGACCTCTCCACTCCAAAAGACTACCTGACTTTATACCTGGAATAAGTCAGAGAGACACAGAAAAAAAGTAGTCAACTAAGAAGTTTCTGGAAGGTGCATGTGTAAGGTTGAGTGAGCCAGGTCAAGTGAACCCCAAACCTAACTCTTTGTTTACTTGCTCAAGATGTGGACCCCATGTTCTGACAGCGGCCAGCTGTCAAGACTACAGCATCACAACTACAGATAATAGCACTTTGGATCTTATTATAGACGTTATAGGCTTACATCTTTGCAGGAGAAGACATGGGAAAAGCAAGGGCAACAAGATGGATACAGCAAACCTAAAGAAACAGACAGATGATCTAGAAATGAGTCAGGATGACTTTATAAAAATATTTTTCCTGCCAAGTTTGTCTGAGATGCTGGTACTGCATGTGGCTACATTTACACTTGAACTTTGTAGGAACATGACAGATCTGCCAGGAGAAGATTCAGAACAATGCCTTGTCGTAAAGAGGAGACAACCCAAGGGTTAATTTGAAGATAAACTGGACATGAGTCTTCACTTGGATAAGCCTGCTGGGTTGGGTGGGAAAATAAGTAGGTGCCCTGCGATCTTGGAAAAGGCTCGGTCAGGGAGACGGAGCACAAGTAAACCTGCGTCTGCACGTGCCTCAAATGCTTGACTTTCCACCTCAGCTGCTATAAATACTCCCCCCGAGGATAAACACCCAGAGCAGCTGCCCAGCCCAAGTCGCACTAGGCTCCACACTGGTGTATTTACAGCCAGGGGGATTAGCCTACAGAGTGAGAGTAGCCGCTTTGTCCGCAACCCAAAGCGGGGCCATGTGCGGGCAGCCCAGGCCCCGCTCAGACCCGGGAGGCTCGACATCCATTTTGTGGCATGCGGCCGGGGGCGGGGCGGGCCGGGCCCAAGCCCCCGAGTGCGCGCCCCGCGCGGGTGGCTGTGGACGGGTCGGGGAAAGCCGCGCGGAGAGGGGTGAGGCGGGCGCGTTCCCGAGCACAGGGCGCTGCAGCAAGATGGAGGCGCGGGGGGCGGGCGGGCGAGGCCGGG